ATATATATTAACTTTTTTTATATTTTATATTTAAAATTTATTTTAAAATTAATAGTTTTAAATACATTAATTAAAATCACTACGTAATTTTAAAATCACATAAGAAAAGATTAATTCATAAGTACACAAAAATCTACTAAAAACATTTTATAATAAATAAAAACAAATTAATACATGTCATTCTTGTGCTACACGTGCCCCTTATCTTTTTTATTTTTCCTTTTTAATTTAATTAAACAAATAACTTTAATTTTTTTCATTCAAGACAAATTTCAAAAAAACTCTATTTTTGATTTTATTTATCGGCAGTAAATTCACACTTAAACGCAATGTAAAGAGAATAGGATTTTTTTTATCCTTAGATATTAAGAATTGAATTTTAGATATGTAATTAAAAGTATTCATAATTTTATTATTAGATTATATAGTTTATTATTAATTAAGTATGATTTAAATAAATTTTTTTATTTTATATAATTATAATTATTTTTTAAAATAATGATAAAATATAAATAAATATATTAAATAACATATTTAAAAAATAAACAATTAAATTTTAACATTCTAAATAAAAAATTATGACTATTAAAATTGAATAAAAAATATAAAAACAATTATTCTATCAGTTTTAGAATAATGAATATTTTTTATTTTATTTTTATAGTAAAGATTTAAAGATAATATACTTAATGTTTGTACCAATATTACCCTTAATTAAAAAAGGATAAAGATAAATAGAGATTTTTTTATAATAAAATAGATAATAAAGTAAAAGATAATGATAAACTTAAAATTGAAAAAAAAAATATATTTTTAAATATAAAGGAGAGAAGTATTTTATAAGTCATTATTCTAAATTTTTTTAAAGAAATTAATTTAAAAACTTATTTCTTAATTAATATTTTTAAAAATCAACTATTAAATTAAAATTTTTAATCATATAAATTACACATATTTTTATATTAATTTAGTAGTCTTAACTAGTTTGTTGACTATAAAAAATTTAATGTAGTTAAATATATGTTAATAAATAAAGTTTTTTTAATCAATTTAAAGTTATAAGTGTTGAATTATTATACAAATTGATATGTATGATTTATAAAATTAAAACTTTGAATCTAATTATTAGATTTTAAAAATATTAATTAAAAATAAACTTTTAAACAAATCTTTAAAAATTTATTAAAAATGACTTTGTATTACACTAACTTTGATATAAAATATAATAAAAATAAAAGTTAGTATGTATCAGTTTTGACTTTTAAAAAAATTAAAGTCTTGATCTATATTTAAAAATTAAAATTTTAATTCAAAATTTAAAAATTTAATTATTTTTTGAACTTGAATATAAATATTTAATAAAATAAAATTTTAAATTTAAATTTAAATTTTAATTAAATAAAATGATGTAATTTAAAATTAAAATTTTAATATTGTTAAAAGTTAAAATTAATATATATTTTTCATATAAAAATATTTTCAATGAGAAAAACATCTATTATATTATTTAGATAAGAAGAGTCACATTATAATTGGACGATCACATACGCTAAAACAATAGCGATAATATGACAAAACTCCCGGGTTAAGCCAGAAGAAAAACGGCAAGTTCTTTAAAAAGTTACTTCTGTTTTTTAAAACGTTTTCATTAATTATCCCCTCGTGGAAGATTGAAAGCAGCCATGGAATTCAACCAAATGGTTCGATGGTCGCACGTCTTATTAAGGTTGGTGGGCTGTTCATCAAATCTGAGAATCGAATTTCAAGTTGTTAACATCCAACAATACTAATCTACTAACAATACCAATCTACTAACCATTATCCTTATCATTTAAAAAAAAAAAAAAAAAAGCAGCCACAAATTTCAAAATTTCAACAGCTTGTTTTAGGGTGGATTGTAACATGAGAATCTTGTTTTATCATTCGGAATAGGGTTAAAGCCAATTGTAGTCCTCATAGTTTGTGAAAATATTTATTACCATCCCTCTACTAAGGAAATGTTTAATGTCATCCCTCTACTTTTCTTACACCATAAATTTCATCCCTCTACTATCCTTTTTTTGTTCAATGTCATCCTTAATTGGATGTCATCCATTTTGCTGTTAACTTTAATCGTTAATTGCCTAACGATCAAATATTTGACTTTTGTTTATGAATTTTTCTAAGAACACATATTAATAATATTTTTTTGTAATAAATTTGTATAAGAAAATATAAAAGTAAATATTAATTTTAGTGTCATTATCACGTAAATAAATTTAATTAGATAGTTGATAAATTAAATATTACTTTTTATTTTTTTAAAACTTTTAATTGGTACCCTAAAGACATAAATTAAAAGAACCCTTAAGATACAAATTAGAATAACCCTTTGTTTATTAATTTCTTATCCACCTAGTGAGACTAGTGGGACCAATTTCATTATTTTTTTAATTATGTATTATTCTTTCTGGCTTTAACATCTAAATTAACGGATTCGGTTAATTCTCTGTTAAAATTGAAATAAAGTAGTTATAGGATTAATCCTTAAAAATTAAAAATGTAACAATTTAATTTTAAAATTTCAAAAATTATAAAAATTAGTAAACTAAAAAGAATTAATAAATGACTTTTTCACATATACTAAAACATATACTAAAAAAATATTAGATATTTATAATCAAATCGAACAATTAACTTAATTTGGAGAAAAAATTTTGATTGAAATTAGGAAAAATTTCTTAACTAAATTAAAATAGAAAATTTAAGAGACCAGAAAAATATAACCGAAATTTTTTTTTAATCTTAATTAGATTTTTTTAGTTAGATTGAGTTAATCACTCGATCTAATTGTAGATATCTAACATTGTTCTCATATATATGATAAAATCATTTACTAATTATTTTTAAATTATTAATTTTTTTATTTTTTAAACTTTTGGAATTAAATTGTGACATTTTTAATTTTTGATAATTGTTCTTATAAACATTTTTTAATTTTAATAAAGAGTTAACAAATTTTGTTAGTAGATAAAAAAATTAATTAACAAAAGTTAAATGTTTGACTGTTAGGCAATTAACGATCAAAGTTAACAGCAAAATAGATGGCATCCAATTGAGGATGACATCTAACAAAAAAAGAGTAGTGGAGGGATAACAATTATGGTGTAAGAAAAGTAGAGGGATGACATTTGAACATTTCCTTAGTAGAGGGATGGTAATGAACATTTTCATAAAGTACAAGGACTACAGTTGGCTTTAACCCTTCGGAATAGGTTGAATTTGTACTACAATATAAAATAAAAGTTGGCTAACTATAAATTAGTTTAAATAAAATGAGCTTAGTTTATTTTAAATAAGGTATCGAGATCGAATCTTATAAATAAAAAAAAAAGTTTAGAAAACTTTTTCTGTATAAAATCCAACTTGGGACTTGATTGGTATAACAGTTAAAATTCAGTAGATAACTAATAATGGGTAGTAAGTGACGGTTAACGGATAGCGGATGATGAATAGTAAAAAGTGGGTGGTAGATAATAAATAACAGATTTGATAGATATAACTTTTTGATTATACAATAGTTAGTTATTGTTATTTAATATTAAATGATTAATAAGGACATATTTAAAAACAATTAAGTATATTTCTTTCTAAATATTTTTTACTTTTTATTATTAAAATTATTAATTTCATAAAAATAATAATAAGAAAATAAATAAATAAAATTAATTATAATAATTTCTAAATATTT